TGGTCTCCTCCGGGACAGGCGGGAATCGAACTCATGCGGAAGTGGCTTTAGCTTCTCAGTGCAGTGCTTTAACCCGCTGCGCCACCAGGGAGGGCCAAATTCTTAATAAATATTTGAGTAAGAGTGGATATTCATTCAATGACTTAACAAAAAATGAATTATCTTCCTGCCAAAATTTATCTCGCCTTGAATCAAATATATTTTTCAATAGCTGGAATTACAGAGGAGGAGGTGGTTAGAGTAAGCCAAGTAGCAGAAGGCTGGATGAGTGCAAGTTTAAGTCTTGCAGAAGGAAATTAACTCTATCACCAGTCTGAACATGATATCAAAGACCATATCCTTTTTTGCTTACTATAGAGTGGGTAATATATGAAATTTTCCTCTAGTATAATAACTGGGTTATGATTCAACAGTGGTCATCAAAATGTTCTTCTGCTTATTGCCCAGGGCAACAAAACAGATATGGTAGGAAATATAAAAATCCTAATTAATTGCTTGCTGAATATGACCTGCAAATCAGTATCTTCAATATAGCAGTTCATTCTTCTCTGTCAAAGTTTTCCCAGTTTTTTGATTTGATAAAAATTTTCAACTCCAGATATATCTTTCTCTTGTGCCACCAAATCCTTCCTTAATTTAGTTTTTCTTTGTTTTTTTTTTTGTTTGTTTGTTTGTTTGTTTGTATCAGCAGAGGTTATTTTAGAATTCTACAGGGAACTTAAAGCCTGCTGTACCCTATGGATTTGGGATTATGGTGTCCCACAAACTAAAAAAATAATCTTGAGTTTCATTTTCACAGATGTCAATTATATATTGAGTCATCTGGAATCTGGCAGAAGGAATCCCATATCCTTATCACCACTTAAACTTCCTAAATTAAAAAACACTGCCTTGAGTCAAATATATTTTTCAACAGCTAGAATTACACAGGAGGCGGTGGTTAGAGTAAGGCCGAGTGGCAAAAGTCTGGATGAGTGTAAATTTAAGTCTTGCAGAAGGAAATTTACTCTTATCACCAGCCTGAACACCAGCTCCAGCTCCAACCCTTTTGGTTTTTTTTTTAAGATTTATTTATTTAAAAAAATTTATTTATTTATGCATACAGAACTGGGGTACAGGCCAGACGTCCAGGGTTGATAAGAGGATTCACTAGAGACAGAGTGAGATGCAAAACAGGAAAACTAATGAAGTACACTTCTGAGGGTGAGCACGGGAGGTCAGGAGAGGTCTGCCCCTACATATAGGACTAGAGAATGAACTCACACTGAAGCAGCTGCGGCTCGCTTGCAGTGTTGTGCTTTAGCCCTCTGTGCCACCAGGGAGGGTCCTGAAATACCCTTTTTAAAAATTAAGGTATAGGGCATCCCTGGTGGCATAAGTGGTTAAGTCTCAGCACGATGAAGCTATCAGCAGCCACTGCAGCACTTGTTGGCTCCCCAGCAGGGAAATAACCTACATGGCTCAGTAGACCTCTCCTGTTTCAGGAGCTGATTCCCTCAGCAGTGTATGTCAGTACATCTGCCTGTTCTGCCTCTCGTGAATCCTCTCACCCTTACACTTCTGACCTGTACCCCCAGCTTTTGTATGCATAAATAAATAAAATAAATTTAAAAAAATTAATGTATAACATTATATTCAAATGTCTCAACAAGTTGTTCTATTTCTTAAAATACTGTGTTGAAAGTTAGCAGTTTTTATCTGGGTCTTGGTTTAAAGCACGTATGTAGTGACATTCAAATTACAGACCATATAACCACAGCACAACCTAGCAAAAGACAGGTTATTCTAATTAAAAGCAGTACTTCCCTCTAAAAAAAAGTTAAATAAATAAAGTTAATATTTAACAATTAAAACTATAAGTGTAAGTACATTAATTAAAAATACTGTTTCAGGCCCTCCCTGGTGGTGCAGCAGGTTAAAAAGCACAGCACTGAGAAAGCCACTTCAGCATGAGTTTGATTCCCCGCCCCAGAGGTGACCAACATGGCAGAGCTCTCCTGACCCACTAGCTGCTCCCCTCAGTGGTATACTTCGTTAATCTGCCTGTTCTGCTCCCCACTCTGTCTCCGCTAAATCCTCTCAACACACCTGTACCTCTCGCCTGTACCCCAGTTCTGTATGCATAAGTCAATAAATCTTTTTTTAAAATACTGTTATAAATCACAAATTTCCAGAACTAATTTCAACTCCAAACTTCATACAGAATCCACTTTAAAAAATTCACAATAAAGGGCCCTCCCTGGTGGCGAAGCGATTTAATGCACAGCACAAAGAAGCTTAAGCCACTTCCACAAGAGTTCGATCCCCGCCTGCCCTGGAGGTGACCACATGGCGTGGCAGACCTCTCCTGACCCGCCCGCTGCTCCCCTCAGCAGTGTACTTCGTCGATCTGCCTGTTCTGTACCCCGCTATGTCTCTGGTGAATCCTCTCACCCTCCACATCTCTGGCCTGTACCCCAGTTCTGTATGAATAAACAAATCTAAAAAAAAAAAATACGCAATAAAATTAGTCTTTTAAACTTTTAAAATTAAAATACATTATTTGCTATTTTAAAAAATGAGGATAATATTTTTATAGCATTTTCTTTATATAAAAATGCACATGTAGGCCCTCCCTGGTGGGGCAGCAGGTTAAAGTACAGAACTGCAAACTAACTTGCTTCAGTGTGAGTTCAATCCCTGGCCCCAGAAGTGACCCAAATGACATAGCAGACCTCTCCTGTCTCATCCTCTACTCCTCTCAGCAGTGTACTTTGTTCTTCTGCTACCCACTCTGTCTCTAGTGAATCTTCTCACTGTCCCTGCACATCTGGCCTATACCTCAGTTCTGTATGCATGAATAAATAAATATTTTTTAAAATAAACAAAAATGCATGTAAAATACAAGAAAACCCATGAAGCAAAAAAGTAGGAAGACCTGGGCTGAAAAACACCTAAAAGTTATATTCAAAAGGAAGAAAATAAAAAATATACAGACAGACATGCCTTTTTATTTTCTGCCTCTTTAACAAGTATTTCAAATGTAATTTAATCAAGCTTATCTATCTACATATGCCTTCATTTTATGTCATTATGAAATATATAATTGTCTGTAAAATATATTAATGTCTATAAAAATATATACATAAATCAAATTATTAAGTAAATTAAATACAGTAAGGATACTTGTTTTTTTAAAAAAATCTGTCAATCTACTTAATTAAGTACAAAACCATCACCTGGTAAATTAAGATTGTCAACTTTAGGATTTGTTTTTGAATTGGACACATCTATAATTGAAGATTTTCTTAACAATCATTTCCAACAATCTTATTTTTAAGGTTACTGGGCATATTTCAAATTGTGGTAAGTTGAACAAAATCAATACTGAACAACATACCTTTCAGATAAATTAAGGCTTTGGTGAAGAGATTTTAATTTTTGAAAAGTCTCTAGGCTGTCAACAGATGTCGAAGGCAATGAGTCTGAGTGCACCTTGTTCGCATCACACAAATTAGCATCATTTCTAGGTAGGGTCTTTCTGAATTTCCGTCCTAAATCCGTCCATAGGACATTCGTCAACATAACTTTGAGTTGCCTGTTACACACATAAATAATTAATGCATATAGTACTAAACATTGTATAATTCATGAATTCATCATAAACTATATGAAAGCCTATAAAAACTCTAAATTTCAGTTGCTGAGGAATTCAGAATAATAAATTCTAAGTTAAAAAATCTGCCTAGACTGGCCTTCCCTGGTGGCGCAGCAGGTTAAAGCACAGCACTGAGAAGCTAAAGCCAATTCAACTTGAGTTTGATCCCCGCCCCGGAGGTGACCCCATGGCACAGGAGACCTCTCCTGACCAGCCCGCTGCTCCCTTCAGCAGTGTACTTCGTCAGTTGGCCTGTTCTGCTCCCCACTCTGTCTCTGGTGAATCCTCTCACTGCCCCTACACCTCTGGCCTGTACCCCAGCTCTGTATGCATAAATAAATAAATCTTTTTTTAAAAAAATCTGCCTAGTATTCTCAAATATACATTCAAAAGTAATTCCACTTATCCCACCACAATGACCATAAGGGGCCAAGCTACACAGAAAGCACTAGCCACTAACTCTTTTTACAATGCCAGGCTAATTTCTCCTCTCCCGCACTGGTTCCCTCATGCACAAGCCTCCACTAAATCTACTAGTTCAACTACAGTTAGCTGACTCTGGTGAATTCTTTATCTTTATCTTTTGGATCAGGGGCTGGTAGCATATTTTATGGTGACAGATGAGAGAATTAAAACAGCTATTTAAAAAGATGCACACTTGTCATTGGACAACATGGGCAGAGAGCCAGAGAGGACTATGCTAAATGAAATAAGTCAAGAGAAAAGCAAATACTGATGGTTTTACTCATGTGAATTACACAGAAATGAAACCAAAAGACAAAAACAAACCCTGAAAGTCTGATTTATAGAATTCAGGCTACCAGAGAGTTGGGGGTGGGTGAAAAGCAGGGGGTCCAACAGATTATGGGGAGAGCTATGGATGCCTCTGGTTGTTGTAAAGTAACAGACATCTGAAGAGGTGTGATCCCATACCTATGAAATACATACAGTGCTGTAAACCAATGTTATCTTAATAAAATTAATAAACCAATAAGCACAATAAGCAAGGGGGGAAAAAACCCTTAAAGGAGGGGAAAGAATCAGATTTCCAAAGTTATCACATTATTAGATTCAAATGTCCAGTTTTCAACGACACAAGGGCTACAAAGAAATAGCAAAGTATGGTTAGTTCAAAGAGAAAATTAAATCAAAGAAGCTAACCATGAAAAAAACCTGATGACAAATCAACTAAGTGAAGTCTTGAAAGCAATTATCTTAAAGATGCTTAAAAACTGAAGGAAGATTAGAAGAGAATCAATAAAATAACATGAATAAAACAGAAATATCAACAAAGAGACAGAACCCCTTAAAAGAAACTAACAGGAAATTCTGAATGTTCAATAAACAAACAAACAGAACATCACTAGAGGAATTTTAAAAGCAGATTAGAGCAGGCAGAAAAAATATCAGCAAATTTGGAAAAATACTGTTTTCTTACATCTTTATAGTTCCCATAGTTCTCCAGCCACCCTACTACCTGTGAACCATTACCATGGTCTGTTGTATTCTTCCTTCCCTTGTTCTGACCCTCCATTTCTTCCTCTCCCCTGCTGTATGCCTCAGATCTATGGTTAGCTTAGAAGGATAACTTAATGACTAATGGCTGAGAGCATTATCTGGCACTGTATTAGTCAGAGCCATAAGCACACACATAAAATCAAATAGCAGGACCTCTTTGATGGAGCAAGGGGTTAAGTTTCAGCACTATCAAGTTACAGCCAGCTCTTGCAACATGAGTTCATCCCTGACTAGGGAGCTAACCCCCCATGGCATAGCAGACCACTCCTGTCTTGCCCCCTGCTCTCCTTAGCAGTCTATATCAGTAGATCCATCTGTTCTATTTTCTACTTTGTCTCTGGTGAATCCCCTTGCCCTCCCTCTCCTCAATACCCCTGGCCTGGACCCCAGTTCTTATATGCATAAATAAATCATTAAAAAAAAAATAGCACAGGGGCCTCGCTGGTGGTGCAAGGAGTTGAGACGAAGCATTATGAATCTGTTCACAGCTCCCACAGCATGAATTCAATCCTCAGCCCCAGGGTAATGACCCATATGGTACATAAGACCTCTGTCTCACAGACTGTTCCCCTCAGCAGTGTGCAGTCATCTAGCGGTTCTGCTCCCTACTGTCTCTGATGATTCCTCTCACCCCTTATCTCTGGCCTACACACAAGCTCTTGTATGCATGATTAAATAAATCTTAAAAAAATTTTTTTTGCAGAGTCAAAGTAATTCAGGGCCCTCCCTGGTGGTGTTAACAGGTTAAATCACAGCACTGGGAGGCTCTCTACAGCCACTGCAGCAGAGTTTGATACTCAGCCAGGGAGGCAACCCATATGACACAGCAGAACTCTCCTTTCTGACCTGCTGCTTCTCTCAGCAGTGTATTTCAGTACATCTGACTGTGCTGTTCCCCACAATGTCTCTGGTGAATCCTTTCACCCCCAGCACCTCTGGCCTGTACCCCAGTTCCTATATTCACAAGTAAATAAATCTTTAAAAAAGAGCAAAATAGGCCCTCCCTGGTGGCTCAGCAGATTAAAGCACATCTCTGAGAAGCAAAAGCCACTTCAGCATGAGTTCAATCCCTGGCCCCAGAGGAGATACACATGGAGCAGCAGACCTCTCCTGACACTCCCGCTGCTCCCCTCAAAAGTATACATCGTCCATCAGCCTGTTCTGCTCCCCACTCTGTCTCTGGTGATTCCTCTCACCGCCCCTGTACTTCTGGCCTGTACCCCAGTTCTGTATGCATAAATAAATAAATAAATCCTTAAAAAAAAAGAGCAAAATAATTTTCAATGAGAATGTTACAAATGACAAACTCACAGAGGAAAGGGTAATAATTCAAAGCAAGTAGCAACCAAAGAGAAAAATAAATCAGCAAACTTGAAGATAGAAAATGAAACCTGTCAAATCTGAAAAAAAAGAAAATTAGCAGAGTCTAAAGGACTCAGGAAACAGAACAAACTGACTACACATGAAGTATAGGAATTCCAGAAAGAAAAAGGACAACAGAGCAGAGAAAATATTCGGGGGAAAAAATGATAAAAAGCACCCCAAATTTGAAAAGAAGCATCAACAGAAGCATCCAAAAGCTTAAAATACGCCATATAAAATTAATTCAAACACATCATTCCTGAGATACACTGTAATTAAACTCTTGAAGGACAAAGAGTCTTGAAAGGAACAAGTAAAAAGTGATTGAGAGATACTCAATAAGATGATAAAGAGATTCTGAAAGAAAAAAGCTTTCAATCAGAAGTCATTTATTGACAAAACTATCCTTCAAGAGAGAGTAAGCTCCTCCCTGTTGGAGCAATGGGTTAAAGCACAGCACTATGGAAAAAAAAAAAAAAAAGCACAGCACTATGAAGCTACCACAACCACTGTATTATGAATTTGCTCCCTGGCTAGGGGGGTGACCCATAAGGTACAGCAGACCTCTCCTGTCTAACCTGCTCCCCTCAGCAGTGTACTTTAGTACATCTACCTGTTCTTCTGCTCTGGTGAATCCTCTCTCTCTCTCTCTCTCTCTCTCTCTCTCTCTCTCTCTCTCTCTCTCTCTCACACACACACACACACACACACACCCCTCTGTCCTATATACCAGGTCTGTGTGCATAAATAAAAAATCTTAAAAAAAAAAAAGGATGAGCACGTAATTAAGACACTCCAAGACTACCCCCCCCCCCAAAAATCTATCCTAAGGGAATGTTCAAGGAGTATCATAAAGTGAAATGAAAAATACTACACTCTATATCATATGAAAATATAAAGATCTCAATAAAGATAAATATATGGGCAATTATAAAAGTTATACTACCATGACATTGGTTTGTACTCTACCTTTTGTTTCCTATCTGATTTAACAGACTAACACACTTAAAAACTTTTGCCTACAGGCTGTTATTACTCCAACTTTGATATATAGCTGTTTTTTTAGTTCTAAGTAGTTTTCACATTAAGTTCTTTGCTGAAAGAATTTTTACTACATAACTAACTTGCCATAAGGCAATTTTGTCACAACAGATAAAATAACTAGTTGATGGTTTTACTTGTTTGATTTCAAGTTTAGTTTTAACTGATACATGCCATACTAAAAAATGGTAACATCAAGTGTGCAAATCCTTTCAGTGAACAAATTCATCATTTCCACCCATTGAAACTCAAATTGGCTGGTAATTAAGTCTTCAAGAGCACTAATTATCAATTCTTTGGATAATTTTTTTTTTATTTTATGTATTTATACATACAAAGCTGGGTGTCACCAGAGAATGTAGGGAGCAGAAAAGTCAGACTGACTGAAATACACTACTGAGGGGCGCAGCAGGCAACAGAGGAGAGGTCTGCTGTACAATGTGGGTCAGCATCCTGGTTGGTGATCAAACTATTATTGCAGTGGCTGCTGATAGCTTCAGTGCTGAAGATATAACCCACTGCACCACCAGGGAGATCCTCCCTGGATAATTTAGATATAATAGCTTGTTCTATAATCTCATCTTTACCAAATCCATCACACATTAGAAGTTAGAAGCAAAAGGAGACACTATCTCTTCCCGACCCCCCTCAAAAGAAATGGTAACACAAAACCTAAGTTTCTTAAAAATGATAAAATTTTTTTTCTATTTAATAATGGAAAATGTGTGCTATTTTGTGATTTGGCATAGGCTCAGATGACATGGTGAAAATGTAAGAACTAGGGCTGTTTTGATAGCTACATGTAGCTCAGATATATACTAACACTTATATAAATACATATAATGGTAAGAAATAGTACTAGCCATCATCCATTCATTTTAGTTCCAGAGAAATCTGGAAAGATATCTTTTTTTTTTTGTATAGCAAAGGAAGTAAGTATTGCTACTTTTTCTAAACTTCAAATACAACCAAACTGTGAAGGAGTTATTTTATAATTAGTTATGTGGTGCAAATTTTTGTGACAAAAAATGTCTGAAAATGCTTGTGGATCTACCAGGTGTGATATGAGTCCATTCATAAGAAATGTCAAAAAAAAAAAAAAAAGTAAATATATAGACACAATAGATAAGTGGTTGTCTTGAGCTGCAGGTAAGAACATAGTGTAACTATAAATGAGTATACAATGTTTGGGGGGGTGTAATAGAAATATTTTAAATTTGATTATGGTGATGATTAAAAAATTTTGTAAATGTACTAAAATTACTGAGTTAGATTTAAAATGGATGATTTGGTAACATGGAAACCATATTGCAATAGCTATTTCATTTTTAAAATGGGACACTGAAAGACATTAGGATCTTTAAAAGTAAGAGCAGGGCTCTCCCTGGTGGCGCAGTAGGGTAAAGCACCACATTATGAAGCTCTCTGAAGCCACCCCTGCAGCACTAGTTTGATCACTGGTCAGGGAGCTGACCCACATGGTGTGGCAGACCTCTCCTAACCCTCCGGCTGCTACCCTCAGCAGTGTACTTTGTCAATCTGCCTGTTCTGCTCCTAACTCTGTCTCTAGTGAAGGCTCTTACCCACCATGCCTCTGGCCTGTACCCCAGTACTGTAAGGATAAATAAATAAATATTAAAAAAATAAGTAAAAGCTGGGCCCTCCCTGGTGGTGCAGCGGGTTAAAGCACTGCACTGAGAAGCTAAAGCCACTTCCGCATGAGTTCTATTCCCGCCTGTCCCGGAAGTGACCACATGGCGTGGCAGACCTCTCCTGACCCGCCCGCTGCTCCCCTTAGCAGTGTACTTCGTCAATCTGCCTGTTCTGCTCCCCACTCTGTCTCTGGTGAAGCCTCTCACCGCCCCAAGCCTCTGGCCTGTACCCCAGTTCTGTATGCATAAATAAATAAATCTTTAAAAAATAATAATAATAAAAAAAAAAGTAAAAGCAAACATAGGGGACAATATAAATAACACAAATGTATGAGGAATATTTTCCCCTTTCTAGATCTATTTTTGTTTAGTTACTTCCCTGCACACAGTAGCAATTCATGTTTCAGAAAGCTTAGCAGAACTCAGTAATATATGTTACGAAATAAAAAATAAGTCTATTAATATCAAACCAAATTTTCCAGAGCTATACTAGTATTCCTCCCCATAATAATTACAAAACCTCAAAAAGCCAATATTACTTATAGTCTGACTTGTGAAAATTAAATGAGACAATTCAGGTTTAATCTAATGCCTGGCATATAATAAACACTCATCTTTTGAATTAATGTCCTTAATTATAGAGAGTATTCAGATCCAGTGTGATCATATTGTTCATATTGTTCATTACTGATATTGCAGAAGGAATCACTAGCAGATCAGGAAGAATAGCATTACTTGGTAAGAATATTACATTACCAGAGAGCTAAATAAACTCATTGGTAATAAAAATGAATCAATAAAGTTGGAAAATGAGACTTGAATAATGTAAGTTTTGAACTATGCAAGGATTTCAGGATCTATCTCTCTCATAAAAGATTTGCATACACAAACCTTTCAGGAAATGTTAATATTTTTATTAAAAATATGATTCCTCTAATGTAATATAATTTTTAGTATGACCTCAACAACCTTTGAAGAAATTAACTTTGTGAATTGATGGTGTGGTTATTCTCAAGCATAATACATAATCATTGCAACTTTCCTGCTGCCCTGTTCACCTTGGCAGCTTTATCCTATTAGAGGGTCAGAGTAACCAATGTTTGTACATTTTTTCAGAAAATTTATATCAAAAGGAAGAATAAGACTAAGTAATTTAATAAATTCAAGATTCCAATTAGTCTTTCAGTTTGTATGACTTCCCTAAAAATTGTAATTTTTACTATTGTCACTGTTTTGATCATTCACTATTCTAAAAAGAAAATTTAATCCTCTTTTGTAAAATAACAACTTTTTAATCACTTGCTGATTTCCAAATCTAAAATGCTTTAAATTCCTTCTGATAATAGCTGCAAGATGAATCCCCCAGATGTTTAATCCCATTATATCCATTAACACTATGATTTGAATCACAGTTGCTAAATGGGGCATCTTTTCCATTACATACTACAAATGCTTAATTAAGCATTATAATTTGTGTGTGTGTATACTGTTTTATCAGTTGAAGTCTATCAAGATGACTTAGAATTAGAGAAAGTTAAAAGCTTGGAAAGAACCTGAGAGGCCATTTAATCCAATCTTTGTTTTAAAAGTTGTAGTAATGGAGACACAAAGAGGTTAAGTAAATCACCCATAGAAACAGTATTTGGGCAAAGTACAAGTAAACCTGTGTCACACAAATATCTTACCTTTCTGGTGAATTCAAAGAAGTGCCATGACGCCCACGGACACCTTTTTTACTTTCATGGTCAAGAGAGAGGACCTTATTTCTTAGGCTTCTTTTCCACTAGGAAAAAAAAGGGAGAGGGAGTACTTTAATAATAAGTGTAGCAACAGACATAAAAACCTACAGTTAAGAGGCACTGAACTTTTCATTTAAAAATTGAAGATAAACATTCAAATCCCATATCTTACAGGAAAAAAAAAGTACAATCTATAAAAAATCCTTGCTTTTTGCTAGAACAGATAAATAAATCTACCAAAAAGCTGCACAAAGAGATTTAAAATTTTCAAGGTTTAGGAAATCAATGTTTTAAAATCCCAAAGCTTATGAAAATCATAAACACATTTAAAGTAAATAATAAAAGTTATTAGATGCCAAGTTAAATAGGGTCTGTGATTCTGAAGTAATACATTTTTAACAATTGGAAGGGATTATAATCAGTTCCCTAGGAACTGCTTCATGGAGACTTTTAGTAAAGAATCAAGTACACTACTCAAAGGTAACAAAAAGAAAAGACAACCTACCAAATGTGAGAACATCTCAGCAATCACGTATTTGTGTGTTAGTGTGTATGTTAATATACCAAATATTTATAAAACTCATACAAATTATTAGCAAAAAATGTATGATTTTTTTTTAGTTGGCAGAGGCTAGAAAAAGACATTCTAGCAAAGAAGACACACAGGAATAAGGTACATGAGTACTCTCTGAATGAGTACATGGGTACTCTCTGTAGTATCCCCTCAATTTTTCTGTAAACCTAAAACTATCCTGAATTCTACAAACTGACTGTACCAAGTGCTGCCAAAGATACACAGCATCTAGCACTCTCCATATATTGTTGGTAAGAATGCAAAAAATTGTGTACCTTGGAATCAATTTGGAAATTAACACTCATATATGATCCAGAAATTTTACTCCTGGAAAAAAAACCATGTTCACACAAAAACCTTATACAAACATTTGTTTAATGGCCAAAAACTGGTAATAACCCATGTCTTTCAATGGGGAGAATCAATAAGCAGAAATATTAATATATACAGGTGGAAGAATTATAATAGCAGTATGCAGAGTGAAAAGTTCTCAAAACATTATAGTCTCTATTTCTGCATTTATGTGACATTCTGCAAAATATGTAAATATAGGTACAGAAAAAGTTACCACCATTTGTAGGTTGGGACAGAGAGTAACTACAAAGGGAATGGCACGAGGAAGGTTTTCAGAGGGATGGAATTGTCCAATATATGCATTGTGATATACTAATATGAGTCTATATAAATTTTATAATTCACAGACCTGTATACTGAAGGAAAAAAAGTATAAATACAAGCACACATCTTTATTATGGTGTGGTTGCAAGTGTGTATACCTTTGTCAAACCTCACAGAACACTTAAAATGAACTGATGTAATTTTATGTAAATTAATCCTCAATGAAATTTAATGCAATATAATACATATTAATTTTTAGTGATATATAGCAGAAACTTACATGTTATAATGCAATGGTACTTCAATTTTTAAAAGGAAGGGCAAAATTTTTAAACATACATCATAAAAATATATATATAATGGTCAATCAACATAGAAAACTATTTTAACACCACTAGTCATCAGGGAAATGAAAATTAAAACTAACTCCAAAAGACCATCAACAAAGAAATACTGCAGATAGTACTATATATCCTAATGTAATCAAGTATTACTTAACAATAAAAATAAGCTACTGATAGATGCAAAATAGGGACTGATAACAATATTTTATTGAGCAAAAGAAGTCTAACACAAGAGGATATATATTGTTTGAACAGGCAAAATTACCTTATGGAAATCAGAAGATTGGTTGTGCCAGAAGTGGGTGAAGGTGAGAACAGTGAGGAAAGAAAAGATAATGGGAAGGGACACAAAAGTTTTCAAAGCTTGTAACAGTGCTCCAATTGGGATATTGGTTACATATGTTTGTTTACATTAGTCAAATGTCTGTACAGCTTACTTGATCTAATTATATCTCAATAGGTCAAATAAATTAATGAGTTAAAATTCTGTTAAAGAGGGACTCCCTGGTGGCACCAGGGGCTAAGTCTCAGCACTATGAAGCTGTCAGCAGCCACTGCAGCATAAGTTGAGTCCCCAGGCAAGGAGCTAACCCACATGGCAGAGCAAACCTCTCCTATCTCACCTGCTGCTCCCCTCAGCAGTGCATTTCAGTACATCTGCTGTTCTGTTCCCCACTCCAGTCTCTTGAAATCCTCTCACACACACCTCTGGCATACATCCCAGTTCTTGTATGCATAAATAAATAAATCCTTTTTTTTTAAATCTGTTAAAGACTATGGGAAGGAGTATACAGCCCTTTCTTTTTCACTGAAATTCACTAAAAACAACTTTTTTTAAATATCCCAGAACATACTACATTATGACCCAATCATTCTTTCAGTTATCTACAAAAAATAAAAACACAAAACTAATCTTGGCCTCCTTTCCAATATTCCTTATCTTATTTCGGACTGCTAATTGAAGATTCTAATACTTAAATAAATCTAACCTGGAATTAAATAACAAATGAAAATCCAAAAAGGGTATATAATTTAAAATTCAGTTTTACTAAAATATTTTTAAACATTATCAAATAAGGTTTTAAATGTAAATTAGTTGTAATTTACCCTCTGCAAAGGGATATCCCAGCGTTCTGAGCTTCTGAGTTTAGAGAGTGATGACTGAACATGAACCTTCTCCGGTTTTGTATTTAACATCTTTTTTATCTGAAACCAGAATTAGAATATAATCAGTTTGACTGAAATATAAATAACAGTTGAATCAGCTAACAAAACCATATTATTCCATATTAATATATTGCTATTACAGTTTTAAATTCAATAGTGATTAATTTATTCGCAGATAAATACAATTTGAGGCCCTCCCTGGTGGCGCAGCAGGTTAAAACACAGCACTGCAAACTAGCCACAGGTACTGCAGTGCAAATTTGATCCCCAGCCCTGGAGGTGATCCACAAGGCGCCAGAGACCTCTCTTGACCTGCCCCTGCTCCCCTCAGCAGAGTACTTTGTCAATCTGCCTGTTCTGCTCTCCACTATGTCTCTGGTGAATCCTCTTACCACCCCTACACCTCTGGCCTGTCCCCCAGCCCTATATGCATAAATAAATAATCTTTAAAAATACAATTTGATTTTAAAAATAAAACCTTTAATTAATATAGAGGTAGATGATACATCACAATAGCTTTCTTACTATTCTCTAACTCCTGCTTTCTAATCTTTCAAATGCTATCCCTAGAGATCTCTAATTTGCAAATCTAAATATGACTCCAACACTTAAAAACACAATAGAGGCACCCTTTACTTACAGCTAAAACTTAACCCGGACTTTCCACATCATTCACACATTGCAAATCCTGCCCCAACAACACTGAGTTTACTCAACCTTCTCCAATGAGTCCATTTTTTTTTTATCTTTAGGCCTCCGTACATACTTCCCCCTCAATCTAGAATACCCTTTCTTTGCTCAAAATTATCCTTTCTTCTCTACAACTGTCACTACCACACCACACCACACCACAGCATTTTTATCTTTGGTACACTGGTACAATGTACTTGGGCTATTGACAGTATATCTATCATATCATATGATATTTATCTACATATCTGCTCATTACACAGGTAAGTTCTTAAGGAGATGGCCCTCGCTATCTCCAAATTACATGGCTCATGATACACAGAATAATAACTGAATGAATGGCTACATATAGCCCCAAGTTTGAAATAACTTGTTTAGAACTTACATATCTCAACTTTTTTACTAAGAGAAAATGTGACATAATAAGTACAACATAAACTAAAAATCAGCAATAATCCATAAAATGATTTCAATGAGAGCCAGGCATAAATCAAGAGGATAGAATAAATCTGAATTTATTCTACATGAGTTATTCTCAACTTTTCTATTTCACTAATACCTCTGAGGTAATGCTCCCAGGCACCAATATCTATTAGTTAAACCTATTCTGTATATAAACATACCTCTTTATAATTCTTCATGTGTAAAAGACAATATTAGCTCTAGACCAGTCATTTTCTTTGTATTCTTAATTAGAGAATAGTTACTTTCTCAGGGAGTAAATTCAAGCAGGTCATACACATGGCTCCTTTATAGTTCTCTAATCTACTGTGGATACTGTGGAATACTATATTTTCCAAAGATGGGCTAACCAATACTCGACATCCCACCTGGTCATCTCATCATGTGATAATCCTTCAACATCGGGTAAGGAAGGAACATAGGTTCCTTCTGCTTAAAAGTGGGTAGGCCTGTGACTTCCAAGATTAGACCATAAAAGGCAATATAGCTTCAGACTGGTTCTCAAGTTCTACCCTCTCTCTCTTCTTCCCTCCTTTTTTCCCCCTTTCTGTCTCTCAACACACAAGTCCCGAGCCAAAAGTAAAAAATCTTAGATACCTTAAACCTTAGATACCTTAAACACACTGTGCTAGAAAAGATCCCAGGGGAAAATTAAAAAAGAAATGGGCATATACCAAAAGATTTTGAGTCATCCAGCACAGGAGTACTCAAGCTAATGAAGTTATTGAGATGTCCTCTCTAAGAAAGATCTTTTTTGAAACAATTCTAGGCCCCAGTCTCCAAGTCAACCTAGGTAACAGCAAGTAGAACAAAGAAAAGTGAAATCTACCCATAGGGCATATTCATGACAAAAATACATTTAAACCATTGAGTTTTGTGGTTAATTTGTTATATGACCCTAGTAATAACCTTAAAATATAACAAGCTCAAAATTATAGAATATTTGAGATTTAGCAAATTTAAGAGTTGGGTGTAGGGTCCTCCCAGGTGGCGCAACAGGTTAAAGCACAGCACTAAAAAGCTAAAGGCCCTTCAGCATGCGTTCAATCCTTGCCCAGGAGGTGACCACATGGCATGGCAGACCTCTCCTGACCCTTCCATTGTTCCCCTCAGCAGTGTAGTTCGTCAATCTGCCTGTTCTGCTCCCCACTCTGTCTATGGTGAATCCTCTCACTGGCCCTGCACCTCTGGCCTGTACTCCAGTTCTATATGCACAAATAAATAAATTTTAAAAAATAAATAAAAAGAGTTGGGTGTAGTTGTTGGGCATTTTATAAAATGACTGATGATGTCCTCTGTAGAAGACTTAATGTTCTTTTCACAGTGATTAGTTTTTATAATTTTACCTATAAGTTGCTTAAACAACATCAGTGGAATATTTACCCCACTAAAATACTCATGTAAACTTCCAATAGGGTGAACACAAAATGTCATCTACTCTATTTTCAAAAGGGCAAATGTCTACTTCCCCCAAAGTATAACTACATGAAACTTGCATATTTATTGAAAATCTAATTTGGCATCAAAGGCCTTGAAAATGAAGGAACAAAGAACATACACTGGAACAAGGGAATCTTCTTCAATAAATGGTTATGGGAAAACTGTACTATAACATGCAAAAGAGTAAAACACCATATACAAAAATCAGCCCAAATATCTCTTCCAAAATATCTATTTATTACACAAGAAAAGATTAACCTTACAACAGGATAACCAGGCAGACACTACTTTAACTAGATGATCAGGAATGACATTATCATGTAACCTCCTGAAAGAATATACAGAGAAGGGCACAGCACTTCTGTGGTATTATTCCCCAAAAGCCGTAACTTAAATCTAATCATAAGGAACCCTACACAAACCAAATTGAGGGATATTTCACAAAATACTGACCAGTCATGAAGGAAAAAACTGAAGAACTGTCACAGACTAAGAAAATCAGGAGCCATAAAAAATAAATGTAGGGCCTTCCCTGGTGGCGCAGCGGGCTAAAGCACAGCACTAAGAAGCTTAAGCCACTTCCGCATGAGTTCGATTCCCGCCTGCCCTGGAGGAGATCCACATGGCGAGGCAGACCTCTCCTGGCCCGCCCGCTGCTCCCCTCAGCAGTGTACTTCATTAATTTGCCTGTTCTGCTCCCCACTCTGTCTCTGGTGAATCCTCTCACCCTCCGCATCTCTGGCCTGTACCCCAGTTCTGTATGAATAAATAAATAAATCTTTTTAAAAAAATAAATAAACAAATGTAAATCCTGGATTGGATCCTGGAACCGAAAAATGAAATTAGTGGAAAAACTGAAGAAATCCAAGTAATGCCTACAGGGCCCTCCCTGGTGGTGCAACAGACTAAAGAACAGCACTATGAAGCAATCTGCAGCCACTGCAGCATGAGCTTGATTCCCAGCCAGCCAGGGAGATGACCCACAAGGCATTGCAGACCTCTCCTGATACCCCTCCATTCCCCTCAACAGTGTAGTTCAGTCATTCTGCCTGTTCTACTACCCATTCTGTCTCTGGTGATGCTCTCACTACCACCACGCTCCCCACACATCTAGCCTGTACCCCATTTCTTGTATGCATAAATAAATAAATCTTAAAAAAAAAAATTCAAATAACGCTTACAGTTGGTTAAAAATATGTCAATGGTTGGGCCTCCCAAGTGGCAAAAGGGGTTAAGTCACAACACTGAGAAGCTATCAACAGCCACTGATGCATGACCTTGACTAGAGAACTGACCCACATGGCTCAGCAGATCTTTCCTGTCTCACCCACTGCGCCACCTCCCAGCAGTGCATTTCAGTCAATCCAACTTTTCCACTCCCAAAGGGCATACCTTTGGCCTACACCCTAGATCTTGTATGCATAAATAAATAAATCCTTAAAAAAAAAAAGAAAATAACAGTGAGCAATTAAAGTTTTACAGCATTTTTAGATAAACAAATATAGTCAATATAGAAAACACATTTAATGAATAAGTTAAGAACAAAACTAAAGCATACCTTATGTAACTCAGAAGATGAAGACTTTTTCCTTTTTCCTTCTGTGACAATCTCTATAAAGACATGAAAAAATTATCATTTAACATCTAAATAATATAAACAAATAAATCTTTTCAGTCATCCTTTAAACTCTTGTTTGATTTAGAATTTACACTGATATATTCTGCGGAATCATAAGAACTAAACACAAAGGTTAAAAAAAAACCCCTACAAGAACAGCAGAATCTCACAAAGTCTCCATTCAACAATATACTCATGGTAATATGTTTTTTTTAAAAAAGAGTTATTTATTCTTTCAGAACTGGTGTGCAAGCCAGAGGTTTGGTGGGTGAGAGGATTCACCAGAGACAGAGTGGGGAGCAAAATAACAATTTTTTAAAAAGAAACTTAGATCCAAGGGCTAAGTCACAAAAAGCCTACCATCCAGTAGGGAGTTTAAGAAATGCTGACTGAACCCAATAACCAAATTCTTTGGCGGTACTAGAGAAAGGCAAAACAGAAGGTAAGAGCGAGAAGTTGGAATATTCTACAAATACTTTTAGTTCTACTATAAGCTAAGTATGCAACTGGAAACAGCTGAACTCCCCATCAATATTTTTCAAAATTCCTATGAAGTTTTCTTTTATGACGTCTTTCAATTAGGAAATATTTTTTCAAAGGCCATCACTGTGCAAGGGGTGAATATAGTATAGTGAGTGAAAAAGCTTCCTGGAACTCATAGTGTATTGCAATACATATACATCACATCACATAATTCACAACAAAAATGGTAGCAATCCTTATGTATGTGGTCACCTACTTCAGATAAACACATCACTACAGTTCAGTAGGCACGGGAAAGGGCTAACTTTTTCATTAAATATTACTACAGTGATCTGATAATCAATTGGGGAAAAAATAAACCTTGACCCCTACCTCACACTACACACATTTAAAAATCAACCTGAATGGATCATAGGTTTAAATGTCAAAAATAGAACTACTAGAATAAAAAGGAAGGAAATAAACAAAGATTTCTCAAACAAGACACAAGTAGGAATAGCTATAAAGAGAAAGATTAATAAATTCAGAACTTAATAAATTAAGTTTATTTTTAATAAACTTAATTTAATAAAATTAAGAACTTCTATTTATCATATTTCATCACAAGAAAATAAGAAGGAAAGCCACAGATTGGAAGATTATGAAACATGTATTTTCATATAGCACTGTGACTGTTGATAATAGTACTGTCAATATCTCATCACCAAACTATATAAAGAACTTCTACAGGGGCCTCCCTCGTGGCCTAGAGGTTAAGTCTCAGTGCTGCTATCACCAATAAACCTGAGTTCAATACCTGGCCAGGGAGCTGACCCACATGGCACAGCAGACCTCTCCTGTCTCATCCATTGCTCCCCTTAGCAGTGTATTTCAATGGAGCTGCCTGGTCTGCTCCCCACTTTGTCTCTGGTGAATCCTTTCACACCACATCCCATCACCTCTGGCCTAGCCCCCAGTACTTCTACACAAATATAAATAAAACATTTTTAAAATAAGCACATTTTAAAAAGATAAATAAAATACTCTATTTAAGAGTCCTTAGTGTATTGGGCCTTCCCTTGTGGCAATCCTCCTCCCGCTCCTCTAGCTTGTCCCCTAAATCTTTTTTTAAAAAAGAGTCCTTAGTATATTATTATTAGAATATAGGAAAATAGTCTCTAATTATTCTCAATCTAAATATATAAGTTAAACAATTTTAAAATATGGTTTTTTTCTTAAGTAATTTATGGAATCATTTATTCACCTGTTTATCCCACAGATGTCTATTTAAGATAAAAGTAATTGCCATTGTTAGATGATTTACTAAGTACTTTCCACAAATTACTGCATTTAATCCTTACAAACGACTTTTAAGATCATTAATGATATTGTCTAGGTTTTACAGATGAAGAATTTAAGTTGAAGAATTCAAGTAACTTTCCCAACATCACAATGCTGATCCACCACTAGTTTGATTCCAGAGATGGCATTCTTATTTTTTAACAACAGATATTTCTTTTTTTTCCTTTTTTTTGTTTTTTAGATTTTATTTATTTATGCATACAGAACTGGGATGCAGGCCAGAGGTGCAGGGTCAGCAAGAGGATTCACCAGAAACAGAATGGGGAGCAGAACAGGGAGAGTGACAAAGTACAGTCCTGAGGGGAGCAGTGGGTAAGCCCACATCCTACACCATGTGGGTGCCATAGTTTGGCTTAGCTTTACAGTGGAGCACTTCCAAGAGAGGGCTGAGATGGCCCTTCTCTTACTTATAAAATCCTGCACCACCAGAGAGAGCCCACATGGCATTCTTAACCAGTACATGGCATGCTGGATGCTACAGGGATAGAAGATGAGTAAGACAGTCCCTATCACAGATTAGTAGCAGTTAATAATGGCAATAGATATTATGCACTTAATAACAGCAGAGATTAAAACAATTCAGCAAGCTAGAATATATAATATAATTTGAGAAATATCATGTAAAAGGCACAAAATTCCAAATTCAGAGAGGTACTTAATTTAAATTTGAGTTAAATAGGATATAGTTCTTATTGAACTGGGCTGTGAAGTAAGTTTTAATAAGTAAATTTTAGATAGCAGTAACATGTAAAAGATCAGTGGGAGGTAGAGCCAAGAGCTGAATTATCAATATAGGCATATGTAAACCAGGATGAAGCAGTCTACTTTAGTTAGCTTCCTAAATTATTGAAGACCATATGAATTATCCATGTGGGAGGTAGGTTTAAGACAGCACCATTTATAATTAAAGTTTCAGTCCAGACAGCCGGAGCTATTCAATCCTATCCAAAACCCATTCCCTGGATTTTCAAGTCCTTCTAATATACTTCCTAATCCTCTGCTTTCATCATCATGTTGGGAATCACATTCACCGCTCCAGAGGTCAATTTTTACACCCTACAACCTTGCCAGTTTCATCTCTTAATTCAACTCTACCCTTTAATCTAGTGTAATCCACCCTAGCCCACAAAATTCCTTTCCAGATTCAGTAGTTTATTGAAATCCTGAATCTCTTCCTTGAACATTGCCCTCCACCTTAATCTGAATGAATCCTAGCTTTCTACTGATGACACTACTTTTGAGACTCTCAAGAAGTTTCTTCTCCTACTCATAAAACCAGGAGCAGATACTCCTTCTCAAAGACAAATAGCTAGTGGTATCACTAATACTACAATATAGTGAAATAAACAATCAGTAAATCCAAACCAAAAGCAAACCCTAGAAACTAAGGCTACAAGATGGAGCCGGAGAAGGGAAGGGACCATAAGGGGGTAGAGAGCACAGTGGACTATAGCAGAGGACTACGGGATTCTTGGTGGAGGGTGTGGAGTGGTAACAACACCTGAAGAGGGGGATTTTATACCTCTAAATCATACACAATGTTACAAACCAATGTTATCTCAATAAAAATTTTAAAATAATCCCTTCACACTACCTTACTTCCAATTAATACTGTATCTTTATTGGAGTAATTCTTCCTTTTAAGATCCAATAAATTGGGGGCCTCCTTGGTGGTGTAGGGGTTAAAGTCTCAGCACTTTCAAGCTATCACTAGCCATTGCATCAGGAGTTCAATCCTCTGCCAGGGAGGTGACCCACATGGCACAGCAGACCTCTCCCATCTCCCCTACTGCTCCCCTCAGCAGTGTATTTCAGTTTGTCTGCCTGTTCTGCTCCCTACTCCATATCTGGTGAAATCCTCTCACCCCCTGGACCTCTGGCCTAGTCCCCAGTTCTTGTATGTATAATTAAAATCTTTAAAAAACAAAGAACAAAAGTTCAATAAATTGGATATACTACCACCCCATATTTGTGATTGCCTTACACTAACACGAAACCCTCACCAATTCTCTGCATCTCAATTCAGTTATCCTCTCTATCACTAACAGTTACCATCATTCCAAAGCACTAAAACTTCGACAAATTAATTCACTGATTACTGTGGAGTCATTTACTTTAACTCAATAAAGTTCAACACATATTCATGAATGGACTTAAGAAACAGTGTTACATTTCTCCAGTTTTCAAATATGGGATTTTTTCAATCTAACAGAAGTGTCCCTCCTCCACACTTCTTATTTCTTCACTCACTCTGAACCAATATTTTTGTCTCCACCTCTAGCCAGACCCTTTAAATCTTAAGTGAAGGGCCTCCCTGTTGGTGCAGGGGTTAAAGTCTCAGTGCTATCAAGCTATTGCCAGCCACTTCAACATGTGCTCCATGAGTCTAGACAATGGTGAGTCCTCTTACCCCACTCCTACCCCACACCTCTGGCCTACACTTCAGTTCTTATATAAATAAATAAAATAAATCTTTAAATAAATAAATCCTAAGTAAAATCAATTTCTTTCTTTTTTTTTTTTCAAATTTTTGGACACCTTAGCACTATTAAAGAAAGTCACATAAGTATAATGACAAATATTACTGCTACAAACTCATGCTTAACAATGAATGACTTTCAAAAGTATTAATAGTTCTGTTTCCTTATCCCTCCATAACTGACCTCCTAAGGTATTTTGAGTTCCCAACACCAAGTGAAAGTCTATCTCAAAAGGTGCTTTAAGTAAAAGCAGAAGGAGAAAGTCCAATACCATGTATTTTACTTATTTGCAATATAGAGGGGAAAAAGGGAACAGAAAAAACCAAAACCCTAGAAATCTGACTATAGAATTGAGGCTACTAGAGGGAGAAGGTATGAGTGGAGTAAAAGGGAGAGAGGAATCCACTGGATTATAGTGGAGGACCACCGGTGACTTGATGGTGGGTAGAGTGAGATAAAATGTATCTGAAGATATGTCAACCTATTACCTCTAAATCATACAGTGTTGTAAGCCAATGTTACCTCAATAAAAAATACCAAAAACAAAGATGCTTTTCACCTTACATTTCACTTAGAAGCAACAACTGCATTAACTTCTTAATTCATTTCTACCTTCATCCATCTCACTGTGAATTGTCTTTTGATTTCATCCTTTACATTACTTCTGGGACCTCACTCCAATTCTTTCTTACTTAATATCCTTTCTACTTACTGACCCCCTTTCTACTTCTTACCAGCCTGAATTAAGTCCCTGGTGGTCTTAAAGAAAAAAAGGAAAACAAACTTCTACCTGATTTCCTACTGGAGAAAAGGAAAATCTGGGTTTCGTCCCTACTACTCTACTAAAACCACTGTTACCACTGGTAAAAGTGACCTGCTAATTGTCAGATCCAATAGCCTAGTATTTACTTAATCTCTCCAATTTACACTGCTTTTCATTCTTTTTCCTTGCTTCCCAAATCTGCCATGTTTCTAACTAGCCTGTTTGTCAATCTCTCTTCGTACTTCGAAATTAAACATATTTTATTCAAGAGACTTCTTACTCTATATTCTTTCTATAAGTAATTCTGTCCATTCCAGTGGCGTCAGTATTTCTACAGATGATATGATTTTACCATGATTAGCTGTTGATTCTGCTCTGACTTACATTGTGGAACATTATATATATAATGCAACCATACAGACATCACCTAAGTCTACTGGATAAAAGAAGGGTGTATCATCAAGGAACACAAGTTTGTTAAGATGAAACTGGGGAAAGGGGTAATAATTTCAAAATTAGGCAAATATGAGAAATACTGCATACCCAGTCACTCTTTTGCAAAGCAAAGACTGAAAAATGCTACAATAACTAAAATTTTCTGATAACTGGATATCACTTATTTGTCCATGAAAACTTTTTTCAACAGTAAACAAGGTTCAGTAAACAAGGTTCAAATTACATATTTGCAGTCAGAAAGACCAGATTTTGAATCTTGACTCTGCTTCTTAGTTAACTTGACTACCCTTCTTTAATCCCAGTTTCCTCATCTGTAAATCAGAAATAATAACCATGCCATAAGGTTATTAAGTTAATAAAATTCTTAACACAAATTATTTGTTTGTATAATTCTGTGTCAAAGTACTTAGTAAATATTTATCCTCAGCTCTAGAAAGGCCTAGACCTCCAACAAATTGCCTGAAGCAACTAGTCAAAAGCCTGATATTAATGAAGCTTCCTATTTTAATTCAAAAATTCATTTGAAACTTACGAGTTATGACTCTAATATAACTGTTAAACTTTCATGATCATTCTCCCTTGCTCCCATACATCTAATTATTATTTCATTCAATTGTTAGTGGACTTCTCCTAGCGCCATTATTTTCTTTTTAAAGATTTATTTATTTATGCATACAAGTACTGGGGTGTGCGCCAGTGGTGGGGTAGAGGGATGCTAAGGATTCTCCAGAGACAGAGTACAGAGCAGAACAGACAGATTTACTGAAATACACTGCTGCGGGAAGCAGCAGGCAAGGCAAAACAGGTCTGCTGGGCCATATGGGTTAGCTCCCTGGCTAGGAACCAACTCATGCTACAGTGACTTGGCAACAGCTTGATAGCACTGCCTTTAACTAAACCTGAGCCACCAGGGAGGCTCAGTGCCAATATTTTTTTAATCTGTATCTCCATCTAATTTACTGCTTTTGATGTGCAACAGCACATTAACCTGGAAATAAGATATTCATATTAAATGAAGTTATAAGTAATTTGAAAATACAAATTTCAATGTATTCTGAAAAAAGACTTAAGCGTCTCATGAATAAGTTTTGGCACAAAAACCTTGTAATTCTTCTTCTCACTGCAGAAATGTTTTCTGCTTAATTACTGATTCATGGCCATATTTCAGAAAAGTAATCAGTCTTTGTAGTTCTACTTGGGAATGTTTTCTCTTAACTAAAAATGTATTAATTCACTTAAAAATAAATACATTACTAAATCCTTTTTTTATGAAAAACTGTATTTTCAAAAAATACTGAGAAGAATGGCATTATTTTACATATTTGCAAAGTCTTTAATGTCTTTAATGTAAAAGACAGTTGAGTACTGGGGCCTTCCTGGTGACATAGGGGTTAAAAGTCTTAGCGCCAAAAAATATCACTACTGGCAATATAAATTCAACTCCCACCAAGGAATTAGCCCACATGGCTCAGCAGACTTCTCCTATCTCCTCCGCGTGTTCCCCTCAACAGTGTATTTCAGTAGGTCCACCTGTTCTGCTCCCCACTCTGTCTCTGGTGAATCCTCTTACCTCACCCCCCAACCTGCATCTCTGGTTTACACCCTACTTCTTCTCTGGTTTAAACCCTACGTCTTTTATGCATAAATAAAAATAAGTCCTTTTTTTAAAAAAGACAGTTGATTTCCCCTATCATCTTCTACATTCAATTTGTTATAACACATGTCATTTGGCCTCTAGAAAATTCTATTATATACATATGGGAGAAAAAGAAAAAACAATTATGTCTTGAAATGATTAATACAGTTTCGACTTCCCAGACCTAAAAAGGTCTCAGAGAATCTGGAGGCCCTGGACCTTGAAACCAGTGACTGAATCAGATGTAGCCATTCTGGAAGCCATCTCACACCTACAGTTATATGAATTTATAAATACTTGTAGTTTAGATAAGACAGCTGGAATTGGGTGTCTGCTACTAGCAACAAAAAGAATTGCGAGAAATACACTATGTGATTCTTCATAATTGTTGCTTGTTTAGGAGGAAGTTTAAGGAAAACTAGTGCAGAAAATTTCTCTTAAATTTTAAAGTAAACTTTATGTATTGTTTTTCTCTTCCTACTGATATCTCCAGTCCAACTATTTCTAATTTAGAATGCTTCCTGTTTTATTAATCAAATTCCTCTGTTTAAAGACTTATGAAATTCCAGTGACCATAAATTTTACTTCTAATCATGTGAGTTCCAGTTAGCAACCACTCTTAATGAAATGGAAACTTTATACATATAAATATCATGCAAGTTCCAGAATCCCTTTAAACTTATTGATCATTTATTTGCTTTACACCTGAGAATTTATTTGGGAAAATTAAATAAAGAGTACTGAGTCATCCTTCAAAGTCAATGTTCATCTCTTAAAATCAAACTGAGAACAGCTAGGCAATAGTATTAAAAATGGTTATTTATATATTAACAATAATAACTTTTCAGAAAGGGCAATTCCAAAAGGGAAGTCACCAGGAAAAAAAAAACGACTTTTGGAGTTAACAGTTTATTTTCAAAATTTACTTCCCACAACTACTAGCATCAATTGAACTGGAATAAATTTGTTTAACCAGGTAATAAGGATAGTCGGGGTTTGTTGAAGAACAAGGGTAACATTGTTCCTCCCCCCACCCCCCCAAAAATGGATTAAGCTTTTTTTGGAAAAAAGACTGCATCTAAAACTGAAGCATGATTTCTCCTAACATTTCAGCATTAGGAAGCACCAAAACTACACTACATAAACAATGTGCATTTTCGTCACTTGTCAATTATATTTTTTTTTTTTAAAGATTTATTTATTTGTGCATACAGAACTGGGATACAGGCCAGAGGCTCAGGGGCGGTGAGAGGCTTCACCAGAGACAGAGTGGGGAACAGAACAGGCAGATCAACGAAGTACACTGCTGAGGGGAGCAGCGGGCGGGTCAGGAGAGGTCTGCCACGCCATGTGGTCTCCTCCGGGGCAGGCGGGAATCGAACTCATGCGGAAGCGGCTTTAGATTCTCAGTGCTGTGCTTTAACCCGCTGCGCCACCAGGGAGGGCCAATTATATTTTTTAAGGGAGAAATGTACACGAAAACACTGAACTATTGGAAGCATGTACACATACATATATTATCAAAGGTAGTAATATCTCTAGAATACACACACACACACACATACACACACACACAGTGGTTGCAACTGCTTCAAGCTAAGTTCCAGAAATAGTGTTCACTATCTTTTGCAGTTAAGTCCAAAGGCAGTTTGAGATGCCACAAGGGCATTCCTAATTAAATTGGAACTATTAAGACTGGGGGGAAAGAGGCACAATAAGAAATAAGAGCATGAAGCCTAACAATTGATTCATTGGGTGTTGTTTGTGTACTTTACTGTAAGCTTATTAAAGACACAGTCTTCTTTATCTCCTTTGGTAGCACTACAGGATTTAACACAATGAACTGAGGTATCTTTGATGGATGAGACGTTTGACAGAAACGTGTTGACAGGGACGATCTCTATCATAAGTCTTGTAACTCCACTGTTGTGGTTCCAAGATGTAGTACTTAAAACCAAACATAGTTACATAAAGCAATTTCAAAAAGAAAAATACGCTGAGAATAAACACACAATGAAAGCAAAGCTTCAAATCTTTAGCTCGGCTTTAGCCACTTTTGGAAGAAGCAGAAAGAAACTGAAAAAGAAAAAGGTTATTAAGCGGGGATGTTCAAAAGAACCTGACAACTTGCACGGTTAAGGAGAAATGGCAATTAGCAAGTCCCGCCTTTCCTTCTTTGTAGCCACTTCTACCTGCCCGGGGTTAGTGGGGGCGGTAGAGAAAGAGGCAACAACAAGAATAAAAGGAATAGAGGAAAGGGGTCAGACGCCGAGGAGCTGGAAATGAAACTGGGACATTGGTGGAATTACGAGGAAGGCGTGGCAGGAGAACAGCAAACCAACCGGGAAGATGCGTGGGCTGTGAGACTCAGGCAGGGTGTTCGCGGGAGGAGGGAAAAAATGAAAAGGGTGTTGGGGTGAAGAGCGTCCAAAGCTCGGATGACAGCTCACATCGGGTCTTCCACTCGCGGGGCCGGAGGAACCCGGGAGTCTTCTATTGTGCGCGCCCCTCCGCCCCCTCCCGCCCCCTAACCCCCGTCACTCCCGCCCGAAACGGGGCAGGAGCCCTGGCAGCTCCGGGCCGCACACCCGTCACCGCTGGTGCCATCTACTTGCCCAAGGTAGGAGACCACAGGCTCAGCCCTCCTCCGACCCTTCCTCACCGGATGAAGACCGCCGTCGCCCAGGCTTCCCCTTGTCCATCTTCTCTAGCTGCTGGAGTCGCAGTTGCAGTCGCTGTCACCTCAAGACCCCTCAGGCTAGAGAAGGGAGGGGGAGGGGAAGAAAAAGCCAGGAAAGTGAGAAGCGCGCTTGCGCAAGAGCCGTCGCCTGCCCCCAGACCGGAAATCAGCTGCCCCTCCCACCACCATCGGAAATCACTTCCTGGGACGTGTTTTTTCTGCCCGCTGCCACCTAGCACACCTCAAGTCTTTTTTTAGACGCGTGTTTTTCTATATTTCTGTACCTTTGGATAGTAAAGCTGGGTGCGAGGTTTTAGCCCGCGATCTCCAAAAGCTTCGTTGAGTTTGAAGACAAAGTTGATTAGAAATTAAAGAGAAGAAACTAGGAATTTCTCCAGGTCACGAGATCCCTAAAGGTGGCCTCGGAAATATGAGCGTAAATGTTAGTAGTCCTTGTGCGTTATTCCTTTTCTCACGGCCTCGCCTATGTTTTTGTCCTCAGATCGCTTCTTCAAACGCAGAATCAAAGAAGCTGGCAAAATTTGTAATAGCCTTGCTATCGGTTTAGCAGTGGAGGTGGACATAAATTAGGTCAGGCGAAGAAAATATGTCTGAGTAATAGAATCTTTTTAAATTTTAAGCTCAACATTTTAAGTGTTGGGAGGGTCGCGAGAGGAAACAATAAGCTCTAACTCCTTCTTTGACAATATAAAATGCTGAGATGGTGATGAAAGTGGGTGCGTGGAAACAGTTCATTCGACTCGGTCTCTAGGACTTTTGGAATGATCGTGTTGAAGCCCTTTCAAATGGCCCATCAACTGCGAAAACTGCCCTATTCTAGTCCATAATATTCATATTTGAATAATTTTAAATGTGTAAGCTTTATTCAAAGTAAGTCCAGCAAAATTTAGCAGAGCGCTGTAGTCAGAGGCAAAACGATATTGGAACGTTCCAAGCGAGACTACACCGACAGATGAGTTGAATATTAGTCCCTACCTTGCACCCCAATTTACCTGGGCCAATGGAGGCACTTCCCCTAACTCACCACTAGAGCCCAGTCTGGTACTTGTTGTGTGTCTAAATTGCTGTGTGGGCTGTGCTCCAACAGATAGTGAGTAAGCCTCCAGATGTTAAGGGCTATTGGGCTGGGCGCAGTTTTACAAGGAAGGAATGGCTCAAAAAGCAGAGCTTGACAGAGATTGACATTCACTACCATGAGGCTATAGTTTCTGTTTAACAAAAACGTTTGCTGGAAAATATATGAAGTCTAAGATTCCTTACAAATCAACTTAAATTGAATAATTTAGTTCAAGACTCAAATCAACATAATTCATTAGCCAATATATATATAAGAAAATTAGCTGCAAAAGATGGAAAGGAAGGTAAGAGATGGGAATATTAAAAACTAAATGTAGGGCCCTCCCTGGTGGAGCAGCGGGTTAAAACACAGCACTAAGAAGCTAAAGCCAAAGCCACTTCAGCCTGAGATCAATCCCCAACAGCCCCGGAGGTGATCCACAGGGCGCTGCAGACCTCTCCTGACCCGCCCGCTCAAAACGGTCCCCTCAAAATGGTCTTCATCAGTCGGCCTGTTCTGCTCCCTACTGTATCTGGTGAATCCTCTCACCGCCCCTGCCCTTCTGGCCTGTACCCCAGTTCTGTAATGCATAAATAAATGTTAAAAAAAAAAATGGTAAGTGTAAATAGGCTGAATCCACTTCAGCTGAATTAAAAGTTTCATAAAATTAAGTATTTTTAAAGATTAACAGTAGAAGTTAATGAATGGGAAGTTAAAAGTATTCAGCGGTGCAGACAGAACATTTAAACTTGCCACTGAAGTAAGTATAACATGTCTGCTATTAGTGAGGTAGTGTTTCTTTGAACTGGAGCTTGTTAACTATACCTCAGACATAAAACTAAAAAATTTTGTTCCTACTTCTTAGAGTTTGTTATCATCTCACTTTGTTTTTTTATGAAAGACTATTGAACGATTAGCTATTGTTTTATAGTGTTTGATGAACTGATTAGCTATTGTTTTATAGTGTTTGATGATGCTCAGATGAAAGCTCACTGTTTGAAAAATAATATCAAAAAAAGGTAAATGATTTGTTTAATATGCTGGGGATAAAGACATTCTATGTAGATTTAGCTCACACTGTATAGAGGTTAAAATCATGTGCACTGGGCCCTGCCAGTGGTGAAGTGTGTTAAAAGCACAGCACTAGAAAGCTAGTCACAGCCACCTTAACACTAGTTTGATCCCAGGCCAGGGAGGTGACCCACATGATGCAGCAGACCTCTCTTGACCTGCCCACTGCTCCCCTCAGCAGTGTACTTCGTTGATCTGCCTGTTCTGCTCCCCACTCTGTACCTAGTGAATCCTCTCTGCCTGTACCCCAGTTCTGTATGTATAAATAATAAGTCTTTAAAAAAAAATCATGTGCACTGAAACTTAACTACATATAAAGGTGTGATGGGATAGTCCTGAAATTTATATAGTAGTGCAAATTAATGAAAAATCAATAACCTTTTAATTAAACATAATGAATATAAAATTATTTGAGATGATAAATTCTGCAGCTCTATAGTTTATAAGAAGAGATGAGGATGGAATGGTTTGATATTAATGGATATGGTTCTTACTGAATGTTAAATAGCATTTAAGTTTAGGTTTTCATTGGGCTCTCCCCGGTGGTACAAGGGGTCAAAGCACAGCACTATGTAGCATGAGTTTGATCCCCAGCCAGGGAAGTGACCCACATGGCACAATAGACCCCTCCTGTCTCACTGGTTGCTCCCTTCAGTTGTCTTGCATCAATCCACCTGTTCTGTTCTCCACTCTGTCTCTGGTAAATCCTCTTATTCCCTACACCTCTGGCTTATACCCCAGTTCATGTATGCATAAATAAATAAAATCTTAAAAAAAAATAAATTAGGGCCCTCCCTGGTTGTGCAGCAGGTTAAAGTACAGCACTAAGAAGCTAAAGCCACTTCAACATGAGTTCAATCCCCGCCCCAGGGAGGTGATCCACATAGCCCAGGAGACCCCTCCTGACCTGCCTGCTGCTCCCCTCAGCAGTGTACTTCATCAATTGGCCTCTTCTGCTCCCCACTCTGTCTTTGGTGAATCCTCTCACCGCCTCTGCATCCAGTTCTGTATGCATAAATAAATAAATCTTTTAAGATAAAATAGGTATTCATTGTATTTTTGTTATAAGCAGTGGGTATGGTTTAACAATTTCAAGACATAATGACAATGTAAAATTAGTGAAACTTTTATATTGCCCCTCGATTAACAATTTCTTTGAAGAGATCTTAATGAAATATGCAAAAAGCCCTTTTTCATCACTAATCCATAGACTTTACAATATGAATGTAAATAGCTTTGAATCAACACTGGGAACATCTTCATAAACTATTTTTTTTTTAATTTTTTTTTTATTTATGTATACAAGAACTGGGGTGTTACAACTGAGATGAAAAAGCATACATTGTACAAAAAATGAAGAATGATGTAAAATAAATAAAATAGCATACAGATGACTTTGCACTAATAATGAAACCATGACTTTAAAAAATAAAAACTCCATTTTAAGTATCACTTAAATAAAAGAATAAAAAAAGTATAGCTCCTAAGTGCTGCACACTTGGGAGTTAAAAACCATAAAGAAACCCAAAGTAACTATTTCTATAAAAATCCAGAAAGTGCCAGGGCCCTCCCTGGCGATGAAATGGGTTAAAACACAGCATAATGGGGCTGTCTGTAGCCTCTGCAGCTCAAATTCAATCCCTGACCAGGAGGGTGACCCACATGGCAGGGCGGAGTCTACTGTCTCACCAATCTCCTAGTTCACACACTGGTCCCCCTCAGGAATGTATTTCAGTAGCTAGATACAGCTGTTCTGCTCCCCTATTTGTCTGTGGTGAATCCTCTCACCTACTAAGCCTCTGGCCTACATCCCAGGTTTGTTTTTTTTTTCTACAACAAAAAGAAAAAAATATATTGGTAATTGAATGTGGTTATTGTTCTCATTCATTAAAGGGCATGAAGGTTTATGAGTCATTTTCCAATACTGGACTAAACACTCAATGAGAAAAGAAAACATGTTTGCAAATTTGCTATAGGACATTTCCATTTAATTGGAAATCTCCTAACTTGTTTTTTAATGTTTCTTCAACAGCAGTGGTTTAATAACTTTGAAGTGCAGCCAGAAAAACTGGAGGTCCTGTTTAAACAAAGATAGTTGGGTATCACCCCAGAATTTCTGACTTAGTAAAATTAGTAGAGGAAACCTAAAAACTTGATTTCTACCTCCCAAATGATTATGTGCTGTTGGTCTGGGGCTGACACTTTGAGAATCGTTAAAAAGACTAGATGACTGAAGAGGTAACAAATTTAAATATGCCTCAGGTGAGGTGAAAGTTATGTTGCCCATAGTCCCCCTCACAGGAAAGTAACAAAAGGTTTTTACTGGGTAAGCCTGTATTTTATGAACCCAAAGACACAATGAGGTGACATATTTACCTTTTCCTCCTGAAGTAAAAGAACAATATGCCTCATTTTTCAAGACCCATCATTCCAATTGTCATCCACATAAAACAAGACAATTCTTTAATATGTGATGTAATTCTTCCTGTTGAAAATAAAGGAAGAGACTCCCCTCTTCCCATTTCTTTAAGAATTTCTTTCCTTTTCCTAATCCAATATATGTAAATCTTTCAAATAGCTAAATAAAGCTCTTTCCAGTCTCACAACTTACAAATGTTTCTTCTAGGGCTGGGCAGCCATTATTTTTTAAATATAAACATCAAGGGAGAAACCTCCCCTATTTTAAGGTTCCTATGGAAAGACTAGGTACCTAATTTTGTAGATGACTTGCTCCAATTTCCAAAGCTGCCTCTTGTCATAAAGATAAGAATTTTGTTTCTTCTCTGAATAAAGCCAGTTAACTAACAATGGCCTCCCCAATTACCATGGTAAAGGCAAACTCCAAACTCCCCCCCATCCCCCCATTCATCAGCACTTGGCAAGTTTATTGAAAAAAGGAGAACAAGAAAAGAAATACCACATAGACACAGGCA